ATTTTGGTTGAAGAACATTTAACTGCTGTACCCATATTGGATTATTGCCATGTACCATTACTTATCATTGGCTCCCTGGTTTTTTCTGGAGCTGCAGTGCTGCTTAGCTCCGTGTTATTAAAACTTGATCACATTAAGTTTTTGAAGCTCACTGTATCTACTAATCAATCCACAAAAGTTTGAAGAAAATATGAAAACAAAACTGTTAGTATATAGCAGTTTCTTGCTAGATCTTCAGAACTGATACTAAGTACTCTACAAAATGTAGACCATAACATGGTCTCCGATTCTTCTATTCTACACAAAGGTCTATCTTCTGTTTTTGAGTCTGAATGATTTGCCATTAGAAACTGCTGAGCTTCTGCTCTGATGATTTTGCCTGCTCTTGGGACCCTTTTCTTCCTACTTCACCTCATCCAGCCTTAATATGAGGGTTTGTACCTAGGCTTATTGTGATTTGCTGTTATAATAACTCTTTGTAACTGTTCAGTTGATATCCCTGTGAGTCCTAGTCCCTCTCTCTCTCTCTCTCTCTCTCTCTCTCTCTCTCTCTCTCTTGTCTTTCTTCCTCTCTCTCTCTCTGTAAACAGAGGAATGGATTTGGGGGAAATGATGTAGAGGAGAGGACTGGAAAGGGTGGAGGGAGGAGAAACTACAGTCAAGATGTAATGTATGAAATAAAAAAAAAAATAAATAAATGTAGGGAAATGGTGGCACATGACTTTAATCCTAGCAATCACAAGGCAGAGGCAGGCTAATGTCTCTGAGCTCCTGGCCAGCTTGATCTACAGAGTGAGTTCCAGGACAGCCAAGACTACACAATGAGACTCTGTCTCAAAAATAAATAAATAAATAAAAATAAATACACCAACCAACCAACAAATAAATATATAGAAAAAGAAACTGTTGAGGCTGGCATGGTAGCATATGCCTAGAATTCCAGAACTTGGTGGACAGGAAAATCCAGAATTCAAGGTGAGCTTTGGTTACACAGTGAATCTGAAGCCACCCTGGGCTATTTAAGCCCCAGTGCCAAAAACTTAACACAACTGATAATAATTACAATGTTTCAATAATAGAGGTAGTGCTGGCTTTCAATCCCTGTACTTGGGAGGCAGAGGCAGGAGGAGCTTTGTGGATTCAAGGCCAGCCATGGATAAATGGTAAAACCTGCCTCAAGAAAAATTAGAAAGAAAAAAAAAAAAGCTAAATAAAAATGCTCCAGGTTATACCATTAGAACTTAACCAGGACAGTCCCAGTTACCAAGAAGATGATGGCATGCAAATAACTGTCTGATGATCAAATAGTTGGTTGATTTATTGGTTGATTGATTGCTGTGCTGGATATCAAACCCAGGGCCATGCATACAAATTCCACCACTAATCTACACCCCCGGCTCCAAGTACACATTTGTAAAAGACAAAAATATCACATATTCATGGGCACACATATGCAACCCTCCCCTACTCACACACAGAATCACAGTATCTCTAGAAAACTAAAAAATATATTTTTTTCTCTTCATTGTCTGTTAATCCCAGAATGGAGAATAAGACTACTACTACAGTTGAAAGCTAAATTTGAAGCAAGCTGTAATTAAATACTGGCCAGGTGGAGGGGCTCTGCCCAGGTCCATATCCAGGTTCCTGGGAAATGGCCCAGAATCAAGTATGGCAAGGGCTTAAGAAGGAAAACACATAGTTCATTGCATCTCCCATCAATTCTAACCCTGGGCAAGCATACATCCTGAAGTGCCTCCAGCCTGTGAACCTCCTACCCACAGGTGATAGAGCACATTGGTGCTGTTTGTGCTATGGGTCAAACAAACGTGTTAAGGGAATATAAAACACAGGGCCTATTATCTCCCAAAAACAATAGCCTCTAGCATTTCAGGAACTATCTGTCCTTGGGCAAGGGGCTTGCAGATCAGAGGTAATTTTGTTTCATGGATCTCTTAGGCTTATTAACTAAAACTTAAAATGTAACATTTGCTGGCTCTCACATGTCCTTCCAACCTCTGAAATGTGGAAAATGAGATTGGGTGGTAACTTAATCCTTAGGGGTAATGGGATGTGGAGCTTTACCTGTGAATCCATCCAAGTCCCCATGTTCCTTAGTTAAGTCAATAGGAAGTCAGTTAGTTAGGCTGTAGACTGATGCGCTACAGAATGTTAGTGCTTAAAACCGTGACAAAAATCAAGAGGATGACTGTTAAATATGTTATGTTTCCCCTAGGGTCAGGAGCCACAATCCACAATTGTCTGGGTTTTCTCAACAGGGGATTACAACACTCACAGCTGGTTGGCAGGGCTTTCGTCCTTCTCACTAGGAAATAAGTCAATAGGAAAATGAAACCAAATGACCTGGATCCCATTAGAGAGAAAATGAATGAGAATGTGTTCCAGGTAGAGTAGGGGCCCATCTCACCAGGCAATAATTCTGTTTGGTTTTCTGGGATTGGCCCAGAATCTTGAATACGCTAGCAAGCGCTCTCCATTGCTTTCCAGATGTCAACTTTGCACCCTTGATTTTGGGGTTAAATTCCCTGATATCTTAAGACTTTCCTTGTGTAAGTTGCTCTTGAGTAAGACCTCTCTCTTCCTTAATCTGTCCTAAATTTCATAAAACTGTCTGTTGTCTACCAGTTAGACAGTCCACCATATTAAGACATTTCAGGACATAGATTAGATTTCCATTACCCACATGGCAATTCATAACTATCCACAGCTCCAGTTCTAGGAGATCTAACACTCTGTTCTGTTCTCTGAGGGTACTAGGCCTGAAAGTGATGTGAAGGCATACACGTAAGCAAACACTCACACATATAAAACAAGATGAAAACTTAAAATACATTATAATAGGAATTTCTGCTGAGCATGGTGGCACATGCCTCTAATGCCAGGACTTGGACAGCAAAAAGCCAGTAAATCTCTGTGAGTTCAAGGCCAGCCTTGAGTTCTACAGTTACTCAGAGAAAGTGCCAGGGCTGCACAGAGAAACCCTGTCTCAAAAAAAAAAGAAACAAACAAACAAACAAACACACACACACACACACACACACAAAAGGAATGAAGGAAGGAAGAAAAAACAGAAAGAAATAAAAAGAATTTGAAGAATTTGCAGGCACTTATTATGAAGAAAATGAAGTACCTCGGAGATCTTTGAGAAATAATGAAGGTAGAAGAGAGATACTCATAAGCCAGGCAGTGGTGGTGCATGCTTTTAATCCTAGCACTTGAGAGTCAGAGGTAGGCAGATCTCTGTGTTCTAGGCCTGATCTACAGAGTGAGTTTGAGGACAGCTAGGGTTGTTACACAAAGAAATGAAAAATAAACAAACAGAACCAGAGACAGAGAGACTCATGTTTTAGTAAATGTGGGTTATTAAGTTACATGTAATAAATTATATAACAAATTCCTATAATAATAATTTTGTCTTATTTTTCTGAGACAAGGTCTCACTTTATAGCCTTGGCTGGCCTGAAACTCTCTGTACACCTGGCTGGCCCTGAATTCTCAGAGACCCATCTGCCTCTGCCTCCCAAGTGCTGGGATTAAAGACATGTGCAACCACTACCTGCCTACCTGCAATCCTTTATCCAGAATACAACTTCACTAGTTTAACACTAAGCTTCATGAACTGATGTCATTAACATCTATATGGCCAATCTTATTAGCAGTTTCTCTAAGGTTTGTCAGTAGGCTAACTTAGATTCCTTGTTTGCATTGTTTTAAAAATCTCATTTTTTGATGATAAAGATTACATATATGAAGAGTGGTAACCAGCAGCAGGTAACATACTAAGATGAGAGCATCTAATGAAAAACTACTGTACACCATTAATAGCCTTACTTATTGGATACAGAACGTGTGTGTGTGTGTGTCCTGTTATACTATTTATATAACATGTGCCAAGTATGCATTCATTATTATTATAAGATACAAACTTTGGAAAGTAATCTGACAATATCACTTCAGGACAATTTGACAGAAATGAACAATCTGTATGGTTTTCTTCACAAGAGGGTTAATGTACAGCTATACATTTGCTCAATGATGGATATCTTTCATAATTGGAAATGATGTTTATGCTGAGTTTGAAACATTTCTCACACACTTACCAGTTTCTCCTAGTTATCTTCCAAAACAAAGAGAACATCGTACATATGTTAGAACTTTATTTCTCAATATCTCAAGAGTCTAGACATAGATTCATTCTACCTCCTTCTGTGTCTGTCACCAAGATGGTTCCTTCACCTGTATAATGTATAGATCTTTTGATTGTATAAGCAAAGAGAAGTATCTCTATCTAATTTATATTCTGCTGTGGACAGACTGTTCTCTTATCCAAAGCACAACAGAACAAGCTAGCAATACAATTCACAGGTGGATGGTTATAAACATAGAAAGGTACTATTGCCAGGAATAGTCAGAGGAACCAGCTGTCAGACACACTCAGCCAACTCTGATTGTCTAATTAGTCATTTTAGTTATACAAAATGGCACACAGTTTACTATAACAATATCATAGTTGCATATAACATGTATCAATCACATTCACCCCTTACTACCCGACCTGCCAATCCTCTTCCTAGTCTCCAAAACTTACTCTCAATATTCTGAATTGTCTTGCTCAAGTGTGACCAATGTTGACACATGCATACATGACATTCTTGAGGAAGCAAGATGATCCTTGCTTATAGAAACACACATGTTCCACCCGCTTCTTAAGGAGATGAAGAAGTCACGTGTTACTCAGACTGGCTAATAATTGGTGCACGTAAAATCTGTCAGCAATGAGCCTTTGTCTCAATAGATCATAGGTTTCTTATTGGTCTTCTTGATCAATATTGAATTGTTCTGTTTTCCATAATAAACGTCTCAGAACACAGTGTTCAATGGAATGTCTTGAATTGAGTAAAGGGATTTTTGTGTTCTAAATTGTTCACCTATTTTTTTTTTGTTTGTTTGTTTTGTTTTTTCCTACTTCTCATCTCCAGTTTGATCACTCATGGTTTTGGGACACCAGCAATATGTGCAGCTCTAAGCACTTTCCAAACAGTCCTCAGTGAGATGCTTAACTACTTGGAAAAACACACTACTCACAAAAATGGTGGTGCAGCAGACTCTGGCCAAGGACATGCCAACTCGGAGAAAGCGCCGCTGCGGAAAGCTTCAGAGGCTGCTGTGAAGGAGGGAAAGACAGAAAAGACAGACTAGCTACATCGAACTGAATCTATTTCCAGAGAGTCTTGCTGCTCATATTTTTTTTTCTAATAGATATATCATTGAGGGTGACTAATTTTCAGTGGACCAAATCTTTACCTTCCCCAAGCCCTCCATAAAATAACATCAGAACAGAAATGAAACAAAAAAAAAAATTAAAACAAAAAAGGATAAATCTCGAAAATGGGGGAGAACAGCAGTGTAACTGTGTGATGAAATTGTTCCTTTTTAATTTTGTGTTATGATAAAACTCCTTTTGTGCACGTAGTTTATTGTTCCAAATCATATACACCACAGTTCTCCAGCGCTTCTGGACTTTGGAGGGGCAAGCACATGTTTTTGTTTTGTTTTTTTTTTTTTGTTTTTTTTTTCACGTGGAACTGATGCACTTTCTTATCCAGCTATGCTGTTAGCGATCAGAGAGCATGACCAAACTGGAATCTGCTGCCAATGGTTGTAGCTCCCGTCATCCTTGACTTAACTCCCTGTCACTCAAGAGTGCCTCGTTCCATTAAATAGGCCAATCTGAAATTCTTCCACTAGTATATGTTTAGGGAACTGACAAGGGCAGTCACGAACTTTTGTTCCGTGGACTGAGAGCAGCTCTAAATAACTGGCCACCCCCAGATAACTGAATTAACCCGTGCCTTGGTGGTGTTTAAAAATTCCAGAAACTGTCTCCCTCCTATCTACCATTCCCTTTCTCTTAGTCCCCCTCGCCCCATTTCTAAGAAGATATTCAGAAGACTTCTATGACACTGTAGGGATGAGAGGTGAACTCTGTCATTCTAACCTCACAGTTTAAAGAAACACTGAACTTAGTACATGGGGTATCCGAACACAGGAGACGGGAGCTTTGCCTCTGCTGTGATCTCTGTGGAAGGCAACACTGTTTGGCCCGAAAATTATGAGAATAGGAACAGTCGCATTTCTGAGAAGTCCTGCCTGTAAGACATGGGGCCCCTTCAAAGTACTGGTGGCAATGACTGTGTGGTGAAAGCAAGGGCCATGGTTTTATTTATTTTTTTTTTTTTCTGGTTCTTGCTACTTCTACCTGTTCCGTATGTTCTAAACCTTTAAAGGCACAAAGGTATCCAGGCTGTGTTCAATAAAGAAAACAGAGAAATCTGAGAGAAGACTTCTATGTCTAAACCTTTCTGTTTACTTTTTTCTCATAGCTTGTTTGTATGGCTTCCTTGTCTTGTAGTTAAGACACTACAAACAAGAAGTTCTTGACTGCAAAGGCCGGGGCTAATTAAAAGAATGTTTGGTCCACATAAACCTGAATGTGTCAAGAAAGCCAATTGCCACCACATTGTTCTAGCGTTTCTACTGTTAACAATTAAACTTCTATATAGGTAAATAAAAACATAGATCATTATGTAATAAAGGAATTATTTTCATGTGTGGATACTCAACACTTAGTTTAGCATGAAAATATCCTCTCATTACCATATTTCAATTATTTTAATAATCTCTGCCACATTATAACTTCATGGAGAATATTAGAATTATAGCTAATGAGAGGAAATACCTGGAATTTTCATGTATGAATTAAAGAACTATTTTTACCTGACAATAATTCTTAAAAGTTATCTTGAAACTTGTACAGAAAAGATCCATAACCACAGAAAACCTAAAGTTTTTAGATTAAATTTATTTGACAGGAGACATGCTGAGGAATTCCATAACAATGGGATTTTATAGTGATACAGTAGGAGAGCTTAAAATAAAAAATTGTAAAAGCAAAGAATTATGACTTCATGTGTTTAGTCCCATTTTTCAAATTTTACCGCTTTAATTTCTTAGATAAAACAAAAATAAAAGAAAGCCAACATTCTTCCACAGTTCTGAATTTCATGAGAAAATGAGTGATACCATGTTAGAAGTTTCCCATATTGTAAAATACACTCGCAAAACAAAAATGACAAGTATTTGAGTTTAGTACGTGGTAGAAAGTTACATCTAGATAATGTGGATTGCTATTGCATCAACGAAATTTCACATTAATCGTTTTTTATTCCATTTATATTAACAATACACTTGTGTTTAATATGGCATTTTGAGATGCATACTACTAGGTACTTGATGTAGTTACACACTGTGTCAAATGCTCACTGATAATCAGATCTGGCTAATGTTACCAGTCTACTTTACCCTTAGTTGTAACTAATTTGGGTTCTAAACACTTCAGTGGGGGTGTTATTGTTTATTAGCCTTGAAACAAAATGTAACTATAACTACAATGCTTATTACCAGATTGTGGGTGTTTCAAGGGCCTTAAGGGACAGCACCCATCATTTCACTTAACCAGCCATTAGAACATAAATGAGCTGATGGACTGGTCTTGTTTAGAGTCATTATCCATCATTCATTCATTCATTCATTCATTCATTCATTTATTATCATCTTCTAAGAGACATTGTTAATACCAGATTTGCCTTGTATATAATAGGTACTCAACACTTTTTAAATAAACAAATAAATGAATGTGTGTTTGTTCTTTGTCCAAAATGGGCCAAAGGACCTTCTAATTTTTGATGTTTCTTTCTATGCTCAATGTTTCAATTGAGCTTGTTTCCTTCCCCCATGGTAATCTGTGGCTAAATTTTATTTAGATAAGGAAAACTTTTCATTTCTAGCCCACTAGTTTCATATAAATATGTTTAATATGGAACTACATGGAAACCTAGTTAGATGTCAAAATTTCAATAGAAATAAAGTTAGAATATTTTAACAGTTTATAGTGAAGATAGCTAACAAAAATATGTTTTTTTTTCCTGTTACAAGTGATAAATAAGTCTATTCAAAAACAATTGTACAAACATATTACAGTTACTAAAACAGTAAGAACTTAACATTTAAACTTGGGGGAGTAAGTTAAATTTCTATATAAAATCATGCTTGCTTTATAGCTATTTAAATGCTATAGCCATAACTCTTTCATTAGATTTACCACTGGACTTAAGTTTGTTGGATCCAGAAAAATAAACAAAAACTCTGAGTTACTCTCTTATTTTCTCTGGAAAGACCTGGCCATGGAAAGACACCAACCTGTCCCCCCTCTTCCTTCTTTGTAGATTCCTTATCACTGGGAGTAATTCCTCTTTGGCCTTGCAGGTTCTCTGTTTACTGTTTCTTGAGGGGTGTCAAAGAGGTAAGGCTGAGCTTGACAGTGTGAAGCTGTAAGCATGCTCTTCTAATGATGACACTGATAAGAATTTCACCCTATGCCAACTGGTGCTTCAAAGATAAATATGTCAATAAATTGTCCTTACTAATAACAAGTGAAAAATAGAATCCATCTTCTCATATTTTCTTCCTCTGGTGCTTCTGGTGCTTTCTCTGGTGCTGGATGAGTGAAATTTTGTAAACTGGGTCAAACAACGAGTGTGGTTGTTATCTTCTTACCAAAGGCAAGTCAAAGTATGAGAGGCAGCAAGGCCTAATGCCTGACACAACCATTCTAGGGCCAAGCTACCTGGAATCAAACAATGATTCTTGGCTTCCTATTGTGTGATCTTGAACAAATTGTCAGATCTTTCTTGGCCTTTGACTCTTCCCCTCTGTAAAATGAAGATAGTAACAGTCATCTACTTCCAGAAATACTATTAGAACTGCTTATCTCTAAACAAGAAAAGATTAATGCTATGTAATTGTTAACTATCGTCTTCAATACTTAAAATTGGAACAATTGATTTTTACCTAGAGAGCAGTTTCTTGTCAATCTATGAAGCCTCTTTTATGCCAAATTATTTCCTAAAGGTTGGAGATATAGAGGGAAATAGTACTTTGTTCCAGTTTGAATGACTGACATCAGTCTTTGAAATGTGGGAAGTGCCATTGCACAAACAAATACAGAATACTGCAGTACTAAGCTGACCAACATTGAGAAAATACAAGCTAGAGCCAGGGAGCAGAATCAAAGAAGATGGCTGTAATCAGGAAAGGAGAAAAGTGAAAATAAGCATGAAGTAGGAAGCAATGCTGGTTGAGGGAGGGTTTGAACACTAAAACACTTGGGGAAGGATGATGCTATGCAAATGTCAGCAGATTCACTTTCTGTTTCTGATTATCCCTACCTGCTTCCTCTCTTTGGCAGTGATAAAGGCTTTGGCCACACTATCTCAGAAAAAAAAAAAAAAAGTGTGACTTAAACTCAAAGAAATGCAAGCAACATGAGGTAAATTTCTACACATTTTCAGTTTCAAGCCTGAAGCACCTCCCTACCTTAGAGGGCAGAGATGTGGTTCAAGGTTAGGGCACTTGCCTACCATCTCAGAAGCACTGAGTTAAATCCCTAGAACTCCAAACAATAATACAGTTTTAGGCTCCTAGGAACTTATGGTTGAAAGGCTTATCCAAAAGGACAGCTGTACTGTGCACAAACAGAGACACAGAAACACACAAAGACCAGGAAAAGAGCCTAGTGGTTTGAGAAGGAGGGAAAGGGGAATTTTAAACAGTTTAGGTGCCATTGAATTTCTGATATCATCCCACCTACTAAGGGTGACTTGGGAATTTGCAGCTCATGACAAAAAGTGCTTCTTACTACCAGGTCACGGTGCACAAAACAAAATCAAAGGCCCTGCATCAAGCAGAGTAAAATGACAGCCTACTGTTTTGTGATCCTAGATGAGTGGTTCTTACAGGGCCTCAGAGATTTCTCTAAATATTCTCAACATGATGCAGACAGACTAAGATGACAGTGGGTGCAAGGAAGAGTAGAGGAGCTGCATCTGCTGTGTCAAGTTCATCAGGAAGCAACCTAGACAGCTGGGAAAGTTGCAGAGTCCCCAAGGCTAGACACTAGAACACAGAGGCACGTGTCCAAGACATGATAGAAATGCAAAGTATCTCTAGGATTTCAAGAAGAAGGCACATGAATAAAGGAGGACAAACAGTTGTTAAGGGTGAAAGAAAAAAAAAAAGGAAATGCCAACTTTAGCAATCATTTATTAGTTACTATGCCCAATGACAGAAGAATGGGAGAGTGTAAAAGTGGAATCTGGGAATATCAAGAAAGATCCCTCTTACCTGTGGACTTGACATGAACCAATGATATCCACCTAAACTCTTTTGTAGAAGGTACTTCTGAAGAAGTAGAACATTCTACTGTTGGGTAT